TGTGTGTTGGTTTCATGAAACTGGAACTCAGAGTCAGTTCTTGTACAAAACACTGCTAAGTGTAGGCTTTGAAAAAGGACCCTAATTTGGGGAGTTGTATCTTCTTTCTCAATAAAATGATGCAACATGTTTTAATGGAGATGAATGCCGAAATAGAGTATAACAGGTTACCTAAATTTTAAAAAAATCGAGGGTGTTTTTTTTTTTTTATTCGCATCGGAATTTGTCTTTGTTTTATTTTTTTTTCATGTTTGACTAAATATATCCTAACTATTATATCACACAGATAACTTAGTTATTTTTTAAATATTAGCTATATATTAGTAGAATAATACCTGCAAATTATATCATAATGATTAAATTATTTCATGAGATACAGACCTCCAAAGTTTGCCGTTTGTCGTTCGAGCAGGCATGTTTGTCAATTTTTAGAAAAATAAATAAATTTTAAATAAATATGATTACTTTATATTACAAGCAAGCTATACCCATAGTTTGCGCCTAAAACGTATTAGAGTTCTCCTAATGTTATCGCTTTAGTTATTCACTCTCAAACGGGCCCCCTCCATCAGTGCGCGTTAATGCAACTCTCCACCACCTCATGCCTTGCGATTTTTCCTGTCCCCAAGTATTTTTTCTAGTCAAAACTAAGTTTGGATTCGTTCATACCAGACACTAGACAATAACATATAAAAACATCAGTTGATTCGAAAATATCGACTAGCCATCCTTTGGTCGATCTTATCTGAAATCACCCAGTACCAGCTTTCCGCCGTGGCTTAGGAATTCAAGTAAAGAGCCAGAAAGGGACCGAGAAGGCTATTATCAGTGAGACGACGTGCGAAGATTCGGCTTCCTTTGGGTCCCCAATCTTCCCGTCGATCCATACTTAAACATTCGCTCTCCACCTCGCGCGTAATCTGAGTGCCACGCAGCAGCGGCGAGTCTTTTAGTGCCCGCGGATTAGTGGCACGGTTGTGTTGGAAGGACGAGGAGGGGAGCTTGGAGAGACAGAGGGGGGCTTGCGACGTAAACTCTAACCTCGAAACGCCTGTTCTCCCGACAATCAGGGTTTACGTGTTGGTCGCCTCCAAAGGCATAGTACTTAGAGGCTCCAGGACCCCGACGAAGATAGAGGCGGTAGCCCCGTTATGTTCAAGACAAAGTATTCTATACACGCCGCCTGACTGGGCTGGCATTAGTAAAATTTCGGAGCCGAAAGCAAAAGGCCTCAGAGGACTTCTCTAACGATCTGCATTCCCCCGTATTGGGAGAAAAAGATGCGCTCGCAATTGTGGATACGGACTTCTAAGTAACTTTTTTTAAGAGCACTACTCGAATTTTTTTTTTAATGTTTATGGTTGGATATTAGTGCTAACAATAAATAGAAAACCTTATATAGGCCAAAATTCTGCTCAGCAAAGCGCCTGTGCGAAGTCCCGTTCAAAACGCTCATAGCACGAGATTCGAGTCTTAATAGCGGCCATACAAACAATATATTACAATTTCTGTTGATAGTTCTGATAGACTACTATATTAGCTAACTGTGAATAAAAAATGAAAAAAATAAAAATGTTTTTTTTTTAGAAAATCGACTCCAAACTTGCTAGTTTTTTTTTAAATATTCGTTTTTCAGGCGCATGTAGCGCATTATATACTTGTGGCAAAATATTGAAAGTATACTCAAAAGAGAGAGCATACTTGGTGCTTTACGGTGATATAAAGATCATAAAGATATATTGATTAGGTCACACAGCACAGCTTGCTGAACTTCGTCAAATATCGTCACAGAGAGGCGGTTTGACAAATAAAAACAAAATCATTAAAAATATTATGACCTAGACACTTAATTAGCATGAAAAAGCCTATGTCTAGAGTGTTCCCAAAAAGTTATATTGATGTAGCGTAAAAAGTAGGGGAAAGGGATGGAGTGAAATATGGCACCTCCGATAGGCTGGAAATACATCAATTTCCACCTTGACCGCTTCAACGGTCCATAACTTGAGAACAAAAAATCCGACGTATAACCGTTTGCGACTTCTTTTATTATAGGAATTTCCCGAAAACATATATTTTTTTCGTCAAAATTAAAAATTCGACCCTAAATCCGCGCCTGAGTTGAGATGAAATCCCCCACATATATATATATATATATATATATATATATATATATATATATATATATATATAACGTTCAGCTGAAGTTCAGCGCTCGTTTTGTGCATTCCTCCCTTTGTTCTTGTGTTTTTGTGCGCTGCTACCGGTTGTAATACACTGGTAGGTTCGCCTTTTGAACTTCCAATGTTTTTTCCACGGAAACGTTACACGTAAAAGACTCCTCGCACAACACATCTTCGGACTTTCAACTCACGATGAATCGCCGACGCTCGCAGACAGAAAGTTGCGATGCTGCGCGAACGGTTATTGCGAGATGCTGCATAGGGTACGCCGGGCGCTACGGCTTCGGAGCCGTTCGAATGGAAAAAGATTCTCGACAACGAAGTAGCGTCTTGCATCTCCAGTAAGCTAAGGATGCTGGAGAGTAGCGCGCTTCAACATTTCCGCAGAGTGAACGCGGCCGGCCAGATCGAGGCGCAGTCGGCTCTCGCATCGCGATGGCTACGTCGTTGCTCTGCTTGCATTGATGGTATGTGCAGTGGTAGTCGAGACAGCCCTCTCAAGACTTCACTCGAATCCAATAGACTACTTTATAACGCGATAGACTGCCGTAACAAGAGCAAAACTCATTTCGGTAGCAGCTTAAAGAACATCTGACACGCCAAAAAAAAAAATTCATGCTAGGCGTTGAAATGGCAAGTCAGGACATTACAAAAAAATTGTTTCACTAAAGAGTTGCGTAGTTGGTTTTATAAAAATAGAAATAGGAGGCCGAATTCAAAGTTCCCGCCGGTGCACTGTGACGTAACAGTGTACCGCAAGGTGTCGGGGCGGTCAGAAGGGAGGCATCGACCTACATCACTAAAAGTGGGTTCGCAGGAAGTCATGTGAGTTTTACTCCTCGTGCTCTCCGCGACCGTGTTTAAAGGGCCGCACTAGCGAGAAAACGCGCGCGGCGCGCCGATCGCGTTGAAAACACGTTCCGCAAAATCGGTTGAGCGGGAAGATAAAGGGCGTGTCTCTGCACGCGCTCGTGGCGCTGACTGTGCTACGGCGACTTTTTGTTACTTCCCGCGATCGGCGTGCCACGCGCGTTTTCTCGCTAGTGTGGGCGGCCCCTTAAGACTTTTTTTTCTGCTCTTTGTACGAACGATTGTAGAAAACGAAGTTTCAGTTCCACTAGCTCTTTATCGCTGCACCGTTGATTAGTTTGCGTGCTGTAAAAGTTGAAGAAAAAGAGTCAGTAAGGTCAATGATGAAAGCGTTGCGAGTACAAGCCAGTGTAAGTACGAGTGCATGCGATCAGTCCGATGATACGGAGCTATACTGGGCGCAAAAGAAGCTATCAAGTCTTGAAAAAAATAATTTTTAGAACGCTCGCAGAAGTTAGGATTGCTTGCGTACGACACGCCCAATTGCATTGCTGAAGGTTCGGACACCAAGGTCGTTGAATCATCGTATACTCTCCAGGCTGAAGATGCCTGCCGTCCCTCGGAAATGCATGCAGTGTGATCTCTTCAGTTGCTGAAATACCGGGACAGTCCCTCACACAGTACCTTCTAGGCATTGTAGTTGATCACGTCAATTCACTGACTCCTCTTCTTTTACCTTTTCTGCAACATTAAGCGATGAAAAGCAGATAAAGGAAACCTTGTCTGCTTGGATCGCTCGTGGAGGTGCGGAGAACAACAAAAATGTTTAAAAAATATTACACGCGCTCGCGGTAAGCACGAGGAGGGATACAACTCACGTGACTTCCGCCGATGCCTCCCTTCTGACCGCCCCGACACCTTGCGGTATACTGTTACGTCACAGTGCACTGGCGGGAACTTTGAATCGGGCCTCGTATTTCTATTTTTATCCAAAAAAAAACTACGCACCTCTATAGTGAAACAATTTTTTTGTAATGTCCTGACATGCCATTTCAACGCCTAGCATAAAAAAAAAAAAAAATTTTTTGGCGTGTCAGATGCCTTTTAAGTTGCTACCGAAATGAGTGTTGCTCTTGTTACGGCAGTCTATCGCGTTATAAAGTAGTCTATTGGATTCGAATGAAGTCTCGAGAGAGCTGCCTCGACTACCACTGCACATACCATAAATGCAAGCAGCGACTTTACGTTCGTTGACGCCTGCGTCGAGAAGCGAGCACAATTAGCGCAACCCAGAAACACCAAGAAATCAAGCGCAAACAAAAATCCCGACTACGAGAAGTCGTAAACAAGATGTGCTACGAAAATTGCACCCCCAAACTGCATTTTTTGGGTTACTTGTCGCATATTTTTTACTTTACACAGAAACACATTTTAAAGGCCGGCCACGCCCCTACCCTCCAGAAAACTCTAGCTTTTTCCCCATCATTCACTACTCGAACCAAAAACAAGTAGCTAAACTGGAATTAACTTTTCTTTGCAAATTTCGGAACAGAGTGTGGCAATAGGTATATATTACGTCTTAATTTTAAGACCCAAAAAATAATTTCGATCAAGGTGTGCTAGGCATAGTTGGAAGCACAGCATCTGGCCGCCTCTATGTCTTTGCTCGTGCTGCTAAGCGGGTGCGATTTCAAGTCTGCCAGACCAACATATCCGCGCACATTGCACCTGCTTTGCACGCATGGGACACCAGCTAGGGTGCCATTCTTGCCATTGTTTAGACAGTGAAAAAACTCGCAATATTATAAAATGTAATTTAATTTTTTTTTACTTCAGTTTTATATTATGGGATACTCCAAGTAGTAGAATAATACGCGAGGCGATCCATCTCTTCAAGTCCTGCTTTGACATTTTGCTACCATACTGTGTATATATCTATATATATAGAAGAAAAAAAGTATGCCTTCACAGTGCGTTCCTCTTTCGACCATTCTGTTGTGCACCGTCCAGGCTCTGAAGAGGTGGAGCTGACCCGGGACGGCTACGAGCGTGCATTCCAGGTCAACTACCTGGGTCCCTTTCTCCTCACCATGCTGCTCGTGGGTAAGACACTCTCGCGTACGTAAGCTCACCAAATTTCAGATTATTTTTGTAATTCGGTGATTACCGCTGACGTGTACGAATTAAGGCCACTTTCCTTTAGTTTGTACGCACTGAACGGCCATCTGACCAACACGTAGATGCCTCCTACTGTACGCAACTGGAAGAGGACAACACAAAGATACAGGTAGGATGTGGACAGTGAATGCCCGTCCCCTCTCACACATGTCGTCGATCATTTCTCCAACTGAATTGTTTTTAAAGCCCCTAAGAGAGTGTTACAGCAAGGAGAAAGCAAACGATCCCCAGAATGCGACACACAGTAGTCTCAAGTGCTAAGTTCGCTGAGAGCTCAAAGGCGCAGGCATCGCGAGTCTTGAACGTTTTATTAACGCTTGGGAGCCAACGAGGTGTCTGCATTACACGACAGAAACGCCGAAGGACAAACGACGTAGCAAGAAAAGGGAACATCATACGCCCTCCATTCCTAACGTAGTCAGTGGCTGTAAATTTAATAACTTTCTTTCTTATGAGAGCGATGGGGGAGGTTGAGGACAGAAAGTTAAATGATCAGCCTGGCGAGCTTCCTCCTCCCCAAAATTTATACAATTGTAGATCAAAAAACATACAGTTCACTACGTACACACAATGCGCAAAATCACGCTGCATGAAGAAAAACAAAAACATCAACATGGCCACACCGGCATTCAGAATAAACTACCTAAAGCATACTGAAACAACTCAAATAATTATTATAAATGCGAAAAAAAATTCACATACTGCAGTTTCCATGTAGTCATATTTGCAACAAAAAAAAATAACCTCTAATCTTTTTTTGAGGCAAACTCAAGTCCTATATTCCTTCTTTTTTTTTAATTCAACAATTCTGGAAGTTTATCTTTTATCTACTCTCCGCAGCCTGTTTGGCGCTACTAAATGTTCAAAATATCGGTGCTACATGTGGGCTACGTGACTCGTTTTCTATGTAATCATGCTAATTGAACAAGATAATGCGTATAATGTAATAGTTCGTACTTATAGTCAAAGCTAAAACGATATGCATACATGTTGTGAAATCACATTATACACTATTTCAGTAACAATAGAGCAGTCAAGTGGTCACATGAAAAGATTTTTTTATATTTTTATTCTTTCTCCTCAATAAATACCTATTTTTCTACTCCTGTGACACGCGCACACGCACAAACAAAAACACTAAAGGCCTTGTCACACTGAGGCAACAGTTGGACAACTCTATCCGGCAACACGAGGAAGTCATGTTCCCGGCGACCCGAAAGCCCCTGTCACACTGGGGCAACAGTTGGAGAACTCTATGCGGCAACATGGGGAAATCGTGCTGCCGGCGACCCTGTCACATCGAGGCAACAACAACAGTCGGGCAACACGTTGCTGCCGCCCGGCAACCGTGTTGCCCGATTTGTTGTCCGACAACCCTGTCACACCGCGCTAACGGCGCGCACAACACGGGGAACACTCCACCATCTTGATTGTTTACCTTCGCTCGTGTGCGGCGCGGAATCGCTAGAAATGTGACTCTACAAAGTGCTAGTGCGTTCGAAGGGCTGGAAATTACTACGGTACGACATCATCCAGTGACTGTGATTAGAAAACTTGACACGGGGAGTATTTTTCGCTCGGTTTGTTATCAAAATGTTCTTCATTCGCTGACAAAGCAGATAGCCTTACCCGAGGAAAAGTGACATCGCTGATATGTATGTTCGGGATTTACGCCACAGCATGAAGTGTTTCTGCCCGGTTCTTTCTTTCATGCAATTCCTATTTCTACTGTAAAATTGAGTTAGCACCGGCAGTACTCCAAAGCGTCTTTTGTAGCGTGGTGTTGAAATGAACAGGCGGCTGTGACTGAACCACCGTGGACTGAACTGACAGTGCTTCATAACTGCGACACCGACACGATCGGCCTTCATAAGGATCGGTGGAATACATATTTTTTATGTGACAGCTTCAGTCGCCAAAACGCCCTGGGTATTTTTAAAACAAATCAGGTATAGCGGCTCTTTTCAAGTTCCAAGCATCAACAATCATGATCAGAGTGGTCGTTTTAATGCTTCAATTTTTTTTCTTTGGTTTTCTGATGCTTCAATTTTTTTTCTTTGGTTTTCTGATGCTTCAATTTTTTTCTTTGGTTTTCTGGATTATTTTCATTGTACTTTATCAGCGGGTGAGCAGGCATGGCATTTTATTTCATTATCAGTAATGTGAGCTGGTTTCTCGGCAGTTCTAATTTCAAAACCAGTCTGAGCGTTCACGACCGTAGCTGTGACCACTTCGAAAATCGCCCCATTCCGTAAATACGCAGCAAAAACATTAATCGAAGATATTTTAGCTGCACACCAGCCACAATTATTGTTAAATAACGTATTCCAAGCCTTTACTTGAGTAAGATACGTTATTGACAGGGGACTAGCTCTACCATCGAAGCTATCTATGTTGTCGTGTTGCCGGCCCGAAATTCACTCAGCCACCAATCAGTGCAACACGCGTTGTCCAACAGAAGTTGCTGCTTTTTTTTGTTGCCGAAAGCTGTCATACCGAGGCAACGTTTTAGTTGTCGTCCATGTTGTCGTGCTGTTGCCGCAATGTGACAGGTTTGTCGGACAACACGGGGAGCGAGCAACAAGTTGCCCGACTGTTGGACAACGTGTTGTGTTGCTGTTGCCGTCGTGTTGCCTCAGTGTGACAGGGCTTTAACAAATCGCGGCAACAACGACAGTCGGGCTACATGTTGTTGCCGGCCGGCAACCGTGTTGCCTGATTTGTTGTCCAACCGCCCTGTCACACCGCGCTGACGGCGGGGACAACACGGGGAACACTCCGCCATCTTGATTGTTTACCTTCGTGTGTGTGCGGGGCGGAGTCGCTGGATATGTAACTATACAAAGTGCTAGTGCGTTTGAAGGGCCAGAAATTACCACGGAACGAAATCAACCAGTTACTGTGATTGGATAACTTGACACGGGGAGTATTTCGCCACCCTTCATTTTGTCAAAATGTTCATCATTCGTTGACAAAGTAGGTAGCCCTAACCGAGAAAAGTGTAATCGCTAATAATGTTCGAGATTTACGCTACCGTATGAAGTGTTTGTGCCCGGTTCTTTCTTTCATGCAATTCCTATTTCTACTGTAAAACTGAGTTAGCACCGGCCGTACCCCAAGGCGTCTTTTGTAGCGTGGTGCTGAGCTGAACTGACAGTGCTTCAAAACTGCGACACCGACACGATCGGCGTTCATAACAATCTTTGATATAAATATTTTTCAACGCTGTCTATTTGCCTACCGCCCGCTATGTGGTTGCTTCATTCCCCAAAACGTCCCGGAGATTTTCGAAACAAATCAGGTATCTGGTAGCGGCTGTTTCACAGTTCCAAGCATCAACAATCATTATCAAAGTGGCCGTTTTATGCGGCGGGCAAGTTCGTGTCCTTCTTGCGCAGGGGGTAGCGGTGACGCCAGAACGCCGAGCCCTGATTGGCTGATTGCGACCCCCTATTGAGCGTCGTCTGCTCCTTTGTAACGTCGTCTGCGTCTGTCTTACCTTTCCTGCGACTTTCGAAAGTGCAGGTCGTTACCAGCGAGCTCGACTTTGCCTTTCAGACAGGGCAGACGAAATAGCTCGAGCGATACGTTGTTTTTGTCTACCTTTCCTCCGTCTGTCGGAGATTCTCCGCTTTTTCACCGGCGAGAACGCGGCCTTCGAAAAAGATTTGTGTTTGTCCTTTGTCCCTCTTGTTCCCCTTCCCCAGGGATTATTTTCGTCATTCTTGTCTAGCTCGCTTGCACCTTTGCATTTTATAGCATTATAACAATAATTACGCTTTGGTGTCAACGAGTCTACGACATAACTTCCGCGATACGTTCAACGCCGCTCGGGTAGCTCAATCGATCTCGCTCGAATTCTCTTCCACAGATTAGCACAAGTTTTCAAACTGATGCCACTTGAGTTTACGCCACACATACATACCCGAATAAGCAAAGTGACAACAGCCTTTTAGTAGAGCGAGAAAGCTGTGACAACAAGAGGCGATCGAGCACTTTTGGGCTATGATGTGCTGACAGTACCGATCGCACAGCCGGATTTGTTTATTTACAGTCACTACGTCTGCTGTCATCTGTCTTTAGCTGATCATCCTTGAACAACCCATTAAACGTAAGGTATCATTCACGAAACTCGTGCAACTAAACGTTTTAACATAGCGATGAACACGGTGTTTACTTCTTACCTGAGCGAGCGACCTGCCGCGGCATGCTGCTCTTGGGCCGTTGCAGCCACTACTTTGGAAGGTCCATCTTGGACAGTCCATTTAGAGCCGCGTAAAGTGCGGTAGCCGCCATATGGCTGCACTTTGCGGCCCCGCGAGAGCACTCACGGTGACTCTCTAATATGTCACCTTTATCGGAGAGCGTCATCTTTACCGCGTAGCTACAATTCTTAAACGACGCCTGGACATTCGCAACTAGAGTGAAATCCTTCACCTCAAAAGAAAGGACGTATCCTTCAAGGTATGTCCTTTCGCCTGTTTCGAAGGCCGCGTTCTCGCCGGTGAAAAAGCGGTGAATCTCTGACAGACGCAGGAAAGGTAAAGCAGCCATCGCTTTGACTAGCAGACGTAAAGCAGACGACGTTGACTGCGCCAATCCCGCCAACCCGCCGACGCCGTTAAAGAGTAAGGAGTCTCGCCGCACACGAAAGGAGGGAAAAAGTATTTGGGAGGGAACTTGCGGGACACTAACCACCCTCACTCTCGGTTCTTAGCAACAAACCTCGGCGCTTCGGGACACCTCGCCAGTGAGTCCTTTGACTTCCCTCCTTGATGCGCGTCTGCTAATTGTTAGACAAAAACAACGTACCGCTCGAGTTATCTCGTCTGCCCTCTCTGAAAGGCGAAGTCGAGCTCGCTTGTAAAGACCTGCACTTCCGAAAGTCGCAGGAAAGGTAAGACAGACGCAGACGACGTTGCAAA